TCTTGCCCTTACTAGACTCTCACTATCTAAAGTATACATAACTTCAATTTCTTTCAAGCAGAATCTATATGTTGCGTTCTCTGCCTGGTTGACTACATGTGATACTTTCTCTCTAATTGGGCTGTGTCTGGGTTAAGTTGCACGAAGAACTCTTCTTCGCATTCGACGGGCTCCACGAGAACGCATCGAAAATCGACTGGAAGGAACACACCGGAACAAATCGCTTTAGATCTGCATTCTAAGTTTTTTATGTTTGGCTCACACGTGGCGTTCCAACCGGCCTTTCCCACTAAGTTTCTCGCCGGATCTTCTCAGTGAATCGCGTTTCCAAGCCGGTGGTAGATTCTGCGAAGCACTGCTCTTGCCTGGGCCAGTGTTAGCAACACTCCCGGTTTGAGCCCCGTGAGCTCACCTACTCGCCCGGTTACGCTGACATAGCCTCTCAAGGCTATCAGCATAGGTAGAAAAAAAAAGCCACCGGCCTTCCTATTTCATCCACAAATAATTTTTATGATGTGCTTCAGCTTAAATATTATGATAACTACGGTTTAGTTTTATAAATTTTGTCGTGTCTATTAGCTGCGCTAGCCTTTTAGCATGGCATTATGGGCAATGAGCTCGTTTGTCCGTCTAATAAAAAAAGTAAAAAAACTCATGTACGTAGTTTGCCTTGAAAAATGTTGCCAACACAATGATGAATACAATTTTCATAGCAACAGAATGGGAAAGAACGCAACGACGTTATGTTCGACTTATGCACTCGGGGTTAATGACACTGCACTATAAAAAAGACATATAATCTGTCATGAACGACTTTGTGTCGGGGCCTGTTGCATGCCTAGAAGAATAAGGACAAAATGATTCATCATAAAACGGGAGAGGTTTTTAAACGATTGATTTGATTAACCAACGAATGTAATAGAAGTATTCAAAATTTTTACAGATTCACTCACTTTCTATTTCTGAATACTATCTCTGAATAATACGACATTATATTACAATTATTTTTACAACGACTGTGACCTTATTTATCACTCATTCAACTCTTAATCTAGGTTAACAGAAATGCTAGTAATCGTGAATAGCTTTCAAGAGTATTACAGTTTTTGTAATAAAGTTAGCTGGTGGTCCAATTGGTGGTACTCATTCATACTCGATTGATATTACTCCGTGCGACTAAATTACGAGCGAGAATGGTCAGTAGGATTAAGATATATATCTTTGTTTGCGGGAACGCTTCCCTGACACCCAGTTTACAATACTAATGAAGGCCATGACTTAAAAGGTATTGACTTCAAGGTAGTTGTATTAAAATATGTATCATATGACATTTACCACAGAGGACCGTGAGCACGCGAGGCCTAAAAAAATAAAAAAATACACTAAAAACATACTCGATATCATTATCGTTCTCCACATGCTATAACTGGCTCATGCATTAAACAATAAATAATTATCGGAGCCCCAACCTCCTTGGTTCGAGATAAACACATCTTGTCACAGACAGACGAGTAACTGAACATAAATAAACGAGAAAAAAAAGCGATAAAGACCTTATCATTAAGAGACTATTTACCAAATAATGTCATTTTAAAATCAAGATCAATTTATCTGTCATTCACTCGTCACACGTAGGGTATTTGTATGAAATTAAACATTAGTCACGTTACATAACATAGCATATTATAATATTATGTTTTAATATGTATACGAGTTAATTAATATTCTTTGGAACTGCAACGATAAATGAATTATTCACGACCGTGCTCGATGTTTTCAGTCTGGTCTTAAAACATAACAAGACACTGAAAATTAAAATCTATGGGATGAGATTGTGTCGAGTCTTTAACGAATAATTTTATACTATACACCACAATCGGATATTAACTTGTGTACTGTAATTCGCTCGAAGTATATAAGAAAGAAGTTTTCGGAACGAAGGTGACGCTTATTGGGACTTAAAAGTTCTTGACTTAGAGGTTACGGAACAACAAGTCATGGAAACAACAACAACAACAATCCAGAGAAAATAAGGCCTACCGTCTCAAGAACGGCTACTTTGGCAGAACCTTTTATTCCCTACTTATTCGCTGGTAAATTATGGAGCTATTCCAGATAAGCTCACGGGGCTTAACCTGAGAGAATTTACTAACATTGGCCCTAGCAATAGCAGTGCTTCGCAAAATATACTACTACTGAGAAACTCAGTGAGTTACGAGAGAACAATTTGGCTATGAAACCGTATAAACACTTTTACAAATATTCACAAATCACTTAGTGATTCAGTTGAGGAGTTTTACATCTAATTAGATTTGGTCATTCGAGTCATTAAAACATTGAGTGTTTCGAATTCAAAAATTACAATTTAAAAGTTATAAGCACTCTTTCAATAGCGATAAGCTTTACTGTTTAACGCTATGATCGATTAGAGAATGGTGTGTAGCCACACACGTGCAAATTTAAATAACGATAATGATAACAAACTTAATTGCCAAACCAATTTGTGAAATTCTCAGTGGAAAATATACAGCGATAAAAAAAAACATGTAAAAATTACGCTTCGAAAACGCGATGAAGAAAGAAAAAAACATGCTCTAGAACTGAAGCATTCAGAGCCATAACCTCATTCTCGCACAGGATTTTTAGTATCGCTTTTTAAGCTTAACGAGTTGCAAATCACAACGGCGGTAAATAAGTGTTCGCTTTAAAACGCACGTAAGCACCACTATTACAATATATAAATTAACATTATATATAAATGAATAAATATTTCGCATCGAAATGCCCAAGCTAGGATTTTCTCTGGTATGTATAATGAATATCATGAACCCCAGACACTAAAAAGTACATACACACCCTGGTACCAAAAGTCTTTTAAAAAAAATATTTTCTGCAAGTGGAAACGTCTTCCTCATAGAGTTCTATCATCTATGTATCATCATCAGCCTTGAGACGGCCAAAATTTCAATAGCTTGAAATTAGAACATATGATCACTTTGCTGAACAGAAATAAGTAGGATGGCACTATAGAACAACGGGTGCGTTTGTGGGTGTGTAGCACAAAATATGTAAATAACTGTAACCAATTTATAGCCAACTATAAAAAGCCAATCAAGTCAATAATAAAATAAAATGACATAACTTCCTTATCGTTACTACTTGTTGCGAGGCTTGATGCGAGTGCTAGGCTGTGTAGCGCCTGGGTGTAGTATTTTGCGTTTAAAAGTTCTTTAAAACAATACATGTTTAACAGGTAAAGGTGTTTTTATTACGTTGTTAGATCAGCAAGCGGCTTAATCTAAATTACCCGTGTCATTAACATCTTTAGTTCTTAATTCGAGTGACAATAACTGACCACTATTTTTATGATTAGCATTCATTTCTTCGTCATGTTGCCCTTATCAAACATTATGTTGGGTCGGCGTACATATCCTCTATTATGCCTATAGGGATTTGGATCAGTTTTACGTACGGCCCCTATCTGACGTCAACTCTCCTTGGGTTCAACCTCGATATAACAATTCGGAAGGGAACAAGTAAATATTCGTTATATCAAGTAATTCGGTAAACTGAGGTTTGTTATATTAAGGTTAGGTTGATCTACCATTTGTTGTAACGAGGTAAAAAAAATTAGTTTTATTCTCCTCAACATTACGTACCCATATTTTTATAGCAAACAACTTCTATGATAACACATTTTTATCTAATGTAACAATTTTTTGAGACTGTCGAGACTATGGAATTGAGTGTCATATTGGTGGTAACCTTACATAAAGGTTTTGGGTTGACAAAATTCGTTATAAAGAAGTTGTTCGCAAGAAATCTTCGCAGTTTAAAGGTATATTTTACAGCTACTCTTATGGACAATTCAGGGGCATAACGAAGAATTTGTTAAATCGAGGACGTCGTTATATTGAGGTTCGTTAGATTAAGGTTGCACTGTATTATCTCAAGCAGTATATTCATTGCAACTTGCTATATGTAGGGTTTGTTCTGTTTCGTCTTTTGGTGTTTCTTTTACTTCATTTGATTTCGATTCTATGATTTGATTTTTACTATCTATTTTATAAACGCTTACACTAGAATTAAAATTTTTAAACATATCAATAAGTTTAACAATATTTGCTATGTGTATGTGCATTACTATAATTCTCATGTTTTATTTGTTATTTTAGCTGTTCTACACACACTCATCACTTTTAATTATTATTCTCCTAATCCTCACGCAGGTCTGCTGGAAGAGATTTCTTAAATAAATAAGCAGTGCCTTTGTACATAATTTTCCTATTACTCTGTACTATGTCTTCTTTTTTATGTGTTCATAAATATATAAATAAATAAGATAAAAAATTTAAATCGCATTTTATTATAATTGTTTTTTCCTTCATTTGAATATAACAGTCTATTAGTCAATCCGAACCTATTATTGTCTGTTCATCGACAGTCTCGTATTCACGGTTAATAACATTTTGAGGAAAATCACAGCGGTCGTGTAACTTTACAAACCATACAGTTATTTGCAAGTCAAACAGTCACAATATTATGTCTGCACTATATTCCTCGTAATTTCGCAAAGACTTTCCTCCTCATTTGGACAGGCAAAATCGATAAATTATCCTTGACAATGAGACTCGAACTGTTATGTATGAATGTATGAATTAATTTTAAAAATAAAGTTTGAATCTCTCTTGTTTTCTGTACAAAAAACCTAAGCTGTTTTAACTATGTTTATTGCGTTTGTTAAGGCTGTAACAGTTTAATACACAGTTGAGTTTTCGCCGTCACAATAAAATCTAATTGTCCGTTGATTCAAAACTTTGCCCACTGAGTTTCTCGCCGGATCTTCTCAGTGAGTCGCGTTTCCGATCCGGTGGTAGATTCTGCGAAGCACTGCTCTTGCTAGGGTCAGTGTTAGCATCACTCCGGTGTGAGCCCCGTGAGCTCACCTACTAGTTAAGGTTACGCTAAAATAGTAGTAAAAAAAAAGATTCAAGACCTACCTTAACATCAATAAGTCGAACGGCAAAAGCGGTGGCTTCCGGGGCTGACAGATTCAGCTGACAAGGCGCCAGTGGAGCAGTCGGAGGCCTCACCAAGGCAAGAGCGAGGGCCGTTCCGGTAGCGGAGTTCAGTCCTAAGTCCTTCTTGTTCGTACGACCACATAGTAGACTAGAACTATTTGCTGCAACAATAACAAAAATAATATTAAATAATTGGAATTAAAGAAACGGTAGGCAGCGGCTTGGCTCTGCCCCTGACATTGCTGAAGTCCATGGGCAATGGTAACCACTCACCATCAGGTGGGCCGTGTGCTCGTCTGCCTACAAGGGCAATAAAAAAAAATAAAAAAAATGGAAATCTTAACGTAATCTTTAGCTTTTAAGTGATTACCGGAGATTTCTATAGAACACAAAAATGTAAATAAATAACACAACGGTTATCGATTCTTTTAATTATTTATGAATTTTAATGAATATGTATTTACGTTGGGGCGAAGTATGGCTTTAGTTTGTACTGTAATCAATTTAGAACACCTCGAATATAAAATTGCTTATTAGTTCAAGGTTTGTTGATGTGTTCTACTAGCAGACGCACATTTCATTTTCACTGATGCTCCCTTATTGAAGTTTTATGCGATCAACTTAACGTATGGATTCTCAAATTCATAATTCACGATCTAAGAGTGAATGCATGGTTAGAAATGTATTTTACGTCACATTAATCTCGACAAGTATATCCACGCTCACAGAATACAGAGACGTAAATAGTAATGACGTCACCACTCTTCGAAAGGATTATCTTGTCCGTAATAGCAATAACCACTCCTTAATATCTTTTCAATCCCATATTACTATTTCAATTAAATACAATCTAAGTTTATTGATGGTAAGACATATTAAACGTCAGCATGACTTTAAAGAACGGCCGTCTGGTGTAGTGGTAAGTGACATGGTCACTACACAAGGGGGTCGCGGGTTCGAATCCCGCCAAGGGAGGATATTTGTATGATAAATATAAAATGTCTTTTCCAGGGTTATGGATGTATATTAAATATATGTATGTATATAATAAAAATCTTACATTTATTTCCGCTATCTGGTACCTGTAACACAAGTTCTTTACGAGCTTAGTACGGGACCAGTTAACGTGGCGTGATTGTTAGTAAATATTTATAATAATAAAGTCATTAGTATTATTTTTTTATTGCTTATGTGAATGGACCAGCTCACAGTCATTGTAAATGCCGCCACCTCCCTAAATAAAGCATATTGTAAATACTACTCAACTCTATGGTTTCCACCACATTTTTATTACAAGATTTCGATGCTAATACGATAAAGTTATATATAGACTAAGTGAACGTTATGTAACATAACCTTAGTCAAGCTATCAAGTTTTATGCCTTACCAAACGTTTGTTAGAATCGTAACCGAGGTAACATTGTTAAGTAATTAACAAAATAATTAAAAGTTTTTTCAATTTCCGACAAGACCATATATTTAATGGTGATGAAGCATTCTGTGAACACTTTTAATTTCGTGTATGGGTGAACGTGCTCTCATGCCCCGATCACCTTTCTCGTCGAACCCGTCGCTTGCGATGAAAGACTCGGCGAATAAATTAACCTATAGACACAGCCCACTGAGTTTCTCGCCGGATCTTGTCAGTGGGTCGCGTTTCCGTTCCGGTGGTAGATTTTGCGAAGCACTGCTATTGCTAGGGCCAGTGTTAGCACACGTCCGGTTTGAGCCCCGAGAGCTCACCTACACGCTAGGGCAACGCTGATATAGCCTCTTATAGGTAGGAAGAAAAAAAACCCGCCCGCCTAGTGCTGAGTGGTTACCGAAGCCCCTAGGCATAGACTGTAAGAGTACGATCATCTTGAGACTTCCACCTTAAGACCTCACGTCTTAAGTTTGGCATTCGGTATTCACATGGAATATTTTGTTGTTTGTTATGAAGTACTAGCGCGACCCGCTCTCACTTTGCTTCGGGAACTGTAATATATTATTGATCTTATTGAATTTTCTTTTATACAAATCTGGCCCTGACAGCAACAAACTCAAGCAAAAAAGAACGTAACCAAATCTAATCTAACAAAAAATCTAATCTTTCCTTTTCTTATTACTCATTGCTTACTATTTTGGTGAAAATGGATTACAAATAAAAGATAATGCCAAGGGATTTTTTTTCTAGGACTATTTAAGATAAACATGTCCATTTTATATTAAATACATACGTGTATATACCTAGTCAGGTCATAAATTCTGTCACATGTTTAATGTAAAATAATTGAAACAAGTTTATTCATTATGTAACCATTCATATACCAAAATGAACTTAACAAAACATAGATTCTTATGACACTAAAGTTTATTCAAAATGACCTCCGTGATTTTGAATACAGGCCTTCAATCTGCGCGGCCAGTCGTCTATCGCAGCACGAACGAGGTCCATGTCAATATCGGCGGCTGCCTTAATCAAGGATGTCTTGAGTGACTCCAAATTGGGATGAGGCTTTGAGCACGCCTTTTCCTCCAAGTGTTGCCATATCTTGTAATCTAACGGATTCAAATCTGGACTGGAGGAGGGCCAGTCTTCGTGCCGGATGAAGTCGATTTCACGCGCCGCCAGCCAGTCTTGTGTGCTCTTCGCTCTATGAGCTGGCGCCGAATCTTGTTGGAATACCCAGTGCCTGTTATTGAACATGGTATGAGAAACAGGTTCCACAAGGTTCGTCAGGACTGTATTTTGATACACAACTGCATTCGTTTTTACACCTTTCTCACAAAAATGTACCTCTGTTAAGCCCCAATAAGAAACTCCCAACCATACCATGAGCGAGGATGGAAAATGACCTCGTTGGACACGCGGAATACGGTTGCTCGCTTCTTCACTACTGTGTGCGTACACCTTATCATTTTGTTTGTTGTAGCTCTCTTCTACGGTAAAAATTTTTTCATCCGAAAAAAGAATTTCCCGATATTTTTTTCCCGCGTACCGCTTCAACAAAGCGCGGCATCTCTTCAGTCTCAGGTCCATTAGACGAGCATTCAAACGATGTCCTGTTTTTCTTCGATATGCCCGAAGCCCTAAGTCTTCATTTAACACCCTTTTCACCGTGCTTCTGTTTAACCCCATCTGAAGGGCCAACAGTTCCTGCTTACGTTTGGGATTTCTTTGAATTCGCGCCTTCACAGCTTTTATCACTGCTGGAGTCCTAACAGACCGAGGGAGACCACTTCTTGACCTGTCATCTACACTAGAGTCTTCATTGTATCGTTTGATGGTACGATAAACGAATCTTTTGGTTATATTCAAATTTTTCAGTATATTAAAAATTTGAATTGGCGCGTAACCGCAACGATGCAACGCAATAACACGGTCTTCTTTAAGCGTCCACTCCATATTTAAAAATGAGTAAAATTCTAAAAGTATATATATTTTTATTTTCATGAACAATTCGAAATTCGAATTCAATAAACTTTTTTGTGGCCAGCATTCTAAAAGAAAAGTTTTTACTGTGTGACAATACTTATGACCTGACTAGTTATATAGCTCCAACGGTTTTTGCAGCGCATAATAAATAGCTCTCAAATAGCAGATTTTTTCGTACTTATGTGACACTTATCGTTATATTTTGAGTAATTCACACTATACCTTTATAAATGATAGCCTATTTGTTATTATGATGTGTAAGCAATATTATTGTAAAGTTTCATCAAAATCCATTTAGTAGTTTTTGCGTGAAAGAGGAACAAACATACATTCATACATTCTTACAAACTTTCACGTTTTTCCTGTGAGTCCGCGTGGGTAAGTACCATCACCCCGCCTATTTCTGCCGTGAAGCAGTAATGGGTTTCGGTTTGAAGGGTGGGGCAGCCGTTGTAACTATACTTGAGACCTTAGAATTTATATCTCAAGATGGGTGGCGCATTTACTTTGTAGATATCTATGGGCTCCAGTAACCACTTAACACCAGGTGGGCTGTGAGCAATAAAAAACAAAAGTTTTTTTTTTTAAATATTACAAGTAATCTCCTCGTTTTTGAATTCATTGTAATCAAGAAATCTATCATTGATTGTGAAATTCGTTTCATACTAGTCACCAGTAATGATTATTAAAATCTATTTTCGAATACGTGGATCTGCAATGAATGTTAATTTATATATTTACAGGAAAATTACCTACATACGGCAACTGGTGCAAAACCATGCTACATAAATAAAACATTCTATTATTTTTTTTTATATCCGAGCAGCTGTTTTAAGTGTGTCATGCGATAAAGAAAACCTTGTATGGTATACGAGATACTACATTTAATAATACATATATATATATAACATATTAAAAGCAGACTTAAAATTGAAATTCGCCTTTTGTGTCGGACTTCGCGTGTTACCGTATTTACTTGAATTATGAATGTAAAGCAGGTTTCGGCCTACAGTTTTTAAATTCATTATTATAATAAATATTAATTATGAAGTCGAAGTTCGCTTATTTTGTTGTATTAAGTGATTTACAAGTGTCCAAAGACATCATAGCATCACAACTCGATAGGTACACGACGTCGGCTTGACGGCAGAAACAGGCAGGATGCGAGATAATGCTTGTCGGCGTTAAGCCAGGGTTTTCACACATAAGTTCTTTTACAATGAAAATACAATACAATTCTATAAAACTTTAACATTACTTGTTTGCGATAAAAAGCCACGTCTGAGTTATTCAGTGGTTCTTACACAATTAGCCATTTTGTGTTGGTTATAGCAACTACAACTTCTTTTATACAAACAAATGTAATTACTGCGAAACAATTCACAAAATATAGCTTAATATTCACAATATATATTTTAGTGATTTTTACATGACTGACATTTAATTTATTTTACATGAAATACTTATAAGTAATATTAACTAACATTGTTATTATCCAGCTTAATCATAGATGGCGCCAACAACATCATTGCATAACAATTACAATACTTAATTAAATTATTAGTACTGTTAATTATAATATAAGTTATTATTAATATTTATGCTTTAATCATATTTAATCATTTATACAGTCATTTGTGCTTTTAAACAATAATATAAACATTAAACATATTCTGAACATTTTCACATCAAAACAGCATGCTAATTATTAGATATGGTAGAATAACAATTTTGTTGCTAATA